CACAGTCGATTCGACAGCAGCCACATCCCGGGGGCCTGTGACATGGACATGGAGCCAGGGCCCCCACCCCAGCCAGTGATGAGCCGTTTCTTGCCGGGCGAGATGCTGTTCAGCTGCATTTTCTCTGCCCCCCTGGAGCTCTGTGTCTGCGTCTGGGGACAGCGGGGGCCATTGGGACGGGTCTCCCCTCACAGCCTGGCGCGACACGCGGGTAACGCCCTCAGGATGGAAGGCGAGGACCCCCGCCGGCTGCTGCCTGTCCGCCTGGCTGCTGAGGAGACTTTAGGCCAGTGGTCCCCAACCTTTTGGGGCTACCACACATGCGGGCGGGGCCACACATGCGCCACACGCCCGGGGTGGGAACCACGCATGCACCGGGGGTCGGGGCGCAAGAATGGCTGAGGCCGGCCCTGGTCACTAGGCGGGGGCACATAAATGCCCCGGCGGGGGCCATGGCGCCCGGGGGCACCGCATTGGGGACCACTGCTTTAGGCCTTCCAGCGTGGCTGCAGAAAACCCGCGTTGTGACCCAGGCCACACGGCCGCAGGGGGACCTGCCGCTCTGGGCGAGCCCCCAGCAGGGGGGCCTGCCGCTCTGGGCGAGCCCCGGGCCCCACGGTGCCACCTCTCTGCTCTCCTCAGGTCTGCGAGGTGGCAGCCAGCTCTGCCCAGTCCAAGCTGCAGCCCTTTCTCCAGACGCTGCCAGGTACGGGGACGAGAGGGACGTGGGGTTGTTACCAGCCGGGCACGTGCCCTGGGACGCTGTTTTTCACCCCCTAGTTAGCCCCTGTCCCACATCACCCCGAAGGGGCTGCGAGCTCCCTGGGGGAGGCCGTCCCCTCTGCACCCCGGCGGCGGCTCTCAGGCTAGGGGTGCACAGCTCTGCCTCTGCCGGGCAGCTTCTGGGGAGCGTGCGGGAGCAGCCCCGGCTCCCCGGCTCGGGACTGCAGTTGGCCCTGGCAGACAGGGCCCAGCTCGGCTCTCGGGCGCCAGTTTCCGGAGCTGGTAGCTACAGAAACCCCGTCTCTTTGCTCCACGCTGAGCTGGGAAGGGATAAACCTGGCTCCCTAATTCCCCAGGGCCCTGGGAACTTCCTGCGTGTTCAGAGCAGCCCCGGGTCCCAGCGGGGGAGAGGGAGGGTCCCCCCCGCCCGGTGATTTCCGCGGGCAGCTCAGCCCCTGGCATTTGTGTCTCTCCTGTTCCGCAGTCACAGCAAAGATAGACAAGGTGGCCGGGATCGACTACTCGCTGGTTGTGCCGCCCGCTGCATCCGCCCAGTCTCTGGACGTGAGCCTGAAGGTGAGAGGGGAAGGGAGAGGCAAACAGGGCGGGCCGTGAAGAACAGTCGTGTGATCCATTAGCGTGTCTGCCTAGCAAGGGCCTGGAGCATCAGCTGCCAGAGGACAGGGCGTGCGAGGAGCGAGGGGCTGGAATCAGGACTCTGGGGCTGTTCCCAGCTCTGCCACTGACTCCAGGTGTGGAATCGTGGCCATTGGCAAGACACTTAACCCCCCTCTGCCTCCGGTGAGCTATCTGCAGCTGAAAACGTGCACACAGAGGAGAAGGCCACCCAGGTGTCACGCCCGGGGTAGTCGAACGCCACCTGTGACGTGCTCCAGGCTGTCCCAAAGGGCACATGGCTCCAGTCCCAGGCTAGTTTTAACACGCTCCGGTGCGAGTGCAGGGTGGGGACAGGGGGCAGCCCCGGTTTTTACTCTCTGCCCCTGAGCACTTTGCTCCCGAGCTGAGGCCGTGAATTCCAGCTCCAGCCTGTTCTCTTCCGCCGGCCTCACTCTGCTTTTGCTTCCACACTAGGGTGAATTTTTCTCCCTGGCCCATCGCACGGCTGCCCCCTTTGCGCCCCCTGTCCTGGCCTTCCCGGTGGATCCTGCCCGCATGGTGTACTTCGGGGCCTCCAGTTACCTCTTCAACACGGCCGGCTTCGTGTACCACACGGCGGGGGCCCTGCGCTTTGAGATCACGGAGGCCATGGTGAGGGGCCCGGAGCCCCCCCTCCATTCCATCTCCACAGGCTTCCTTGGAGGAGTCTCTCCGGCCCCTCTGTGGGGCGGGGGTCTCTGCCTTGCCTGACCTCATGGGGCAGCGGGAGGGACTCCACTGATGGCTGCCTGGTGGGCACTAGGAGGGGCTGCCGGGCCAAGTTTTCTCTCTCACCGGGCACCAGATGGTGAGTCTGTAGCCATCCTGACAGGTCCACGGCAAGTACCCCCTGGCTGGGGGGGGCATGAGCTGCCCGAGGAGGAGGGACGTGTGTGCGAGGAGGGGTCAGTCCCGGTTCCTGGGAGCAAGGCTGCCCTCTGGCCCGGAGCAGTGACGAGCCCAGACGGGGAGGAGCCCAGACGGGGAGGAGCCCAGACGGGGAGGAGCCCAGACGGGGAGGAGCCCAGACGGGGAGGAGCCCAGACGGGGAGGAGCCCAGACGGGGAGGAGCCCAGACGGGGAGGAGCCCAGACGGGGAGGAGCCCAGACGGGGAGGAGCCCAGACGGGGAGGAGCCCAGACGGGGAGGAGCCCAGACGGGGAGGAGCCCAGACGGGGAGGAGCCCAGACGGGGAGGAGCCCAGACGGGGAGGAGCCCAGACGGGGAGGAGCCCAGACGGGGAGGAGCCCAGACGGGGAGGAGCCCAGACGGGGAGGAGCCCAGACGGGGAGGAGCCCAGACGGGGAGGAGCCCAGACGGGGAGGAGCCCAGACGGGGAGGAGCCCAGACGGGGAGGAGCCCAGACGGGGTCCCGCTGGCCCCACCTCCTTGCTGCCCTCCCGAAGGACCCCGGAGACCCCTTTCCCTGATGGAGAGACTGGCTCCTATGAGGGATCTAGCCGGGGCTCGGGGGCTCAATTTTGCCTCCAGCTCTTCTGCGTGGCCGTTCCGTGGGGCGAAGGGCCCTCAGGCGCTGTCTGTGTTTCTCCTGCTACAGATTCCTAAGCAGTTTCAGTTCCACTTGAACACCTCCACCTTCTCAGCCTTCATCCCCCAGGTGAGTGGCCTGCCCTCCGGAGAGTGGGGGGGGCTGCCCCCCTCATGGCGGGGCACCGCGGTTTGCTGGGGACGGCCTCGGAGCCTCGCCGGACTGAGTTCAGGTGAGCCCTGGCACATCCCAGGGAGGGTTAAAAAGGAGAACGTCCCACCACACGGCCGTTTCCGCTTAGGAGAGGCCACAGTTCGAACTGGAGCCGCGGGGGCGAAGGTCGCGGGGGGACGGGCAGTGGCGCTCGATTCTGGACCGTAACAGGTTCCATTTCTCGGGGACTTGGCTTCGCCGCAGCAACGTGTGTGGCTCCGGCGTCACCTTCCCCAGGGCTGACCGGCCACCTCTGCTCTGTCCCCAGCTGGAAAAGAAGTACCCAGACAGGCCGATGAAGCTCACGATTCAAACCGCTTCTGCCCCGTTCCTCACCATGGCCCCCGGGAACGTCTCGCTCACGCCTGTTCTGGACATTCAAGCCTTCGTCGTCCTGCCCAACTCCTCCCTGGTCTCCATCTTCCTGCTGGGCGTGGTCAGTAGGGCACGGCTGGTGGTCCGGGGCCCTGGGGGACAGACCTCAGTGCGCTTGCTCTGCGGGTGGGGGAGGGACGTGGCGCACGGTGCTGTGAGCTTTCCTAAGCCAGGTCCCCGGGTCGCCCCCCAGCCAGCTGGC